ACCATTCGAGGAAATTTCTACGAACATGTGGGGGAGAATTTGATGGTTTGAAATTTTGTGCAAACGCTTCTAGAATTTCTCTATTTCGGGGTAACGAGTTTGGAAATTCGAGGATATTCTTGTGTTCGTGTAGCAATGCATTACTTAGCTCGGCAGGTGGATATTTTCAGCGCATTATTATTTCCGCGGAATTTTTCCGTAAATGGAAATCGAGAGTGGTTTTGTTATTGGAAATTGAATAGAATTCTCCGAAAATCTTCCAAATTCGGGCGAACCTAATGTAAATTATCGCTGATGTTCCTGAATAAATACTGTCATACTTAATTTCAGATGCTATCATTCTGCTATCTAAACATACCAACAACTTATTTCGAGATAACCCGGTGTGTCTATGTAAAGTGTGTACTGGCAATGCAAATGACTGTTTATCAGTTGGCTGGCACTCTTGAGACACAGAAACCGTTGGAAACAGTATCTTGTATCCGAACCTGCTGTCTCGCTATCCGAGTGCCTCGGATTTTCGTTGCCTTTGAACAACACCGTTGGATGGTTAATTTATATCACCGGATGCTTCCGTTTGTAATCCTTGCTAACCCTCGTCAGAGACTCCCTCGGCCAGGGCACAGTGATGACGGCCTGGACCCAAGCCACCGGAGTGTGGGGTTTTGGTCATTTTGAAAACAGTTCATTTGCCCAGTGGCTCCATGCTACAGCACCTGGGATTAATTTTACCAGATGCTGCTCATCAATAATTTCGCATATTTCGGCTGGGTTATTTCAGTGGTACTCATTCGATGAAATGAAATAATTCCTCTAATTACTCATAAAGTACTAAACGGCACTACTTGAAAATAATCTTCCGAAATTGGTTCTTCCGCTTCATTCAAATGTTTTTTCAAAAAATTTTATGCGCTATTTTTTTTTTGGCTTTTTGGGATGGCCATTTATCTAATCGCAAATACATTCTGTCTCATTGAAAAATCCTCGCTTCATTTTTATAGTATTAATCTTCCGAAAAAAAACACAGTGACGACTTGAAGAGCGAGGGAATCTGGTGTTTGGATATGTTTAAAAGCCGAAAGGGGGATGGAAAAGAGGGCTACTGTGACCCCCGCAAATGTAGACAATTTGCATATCAGACGAGCCGATAACGAGATTATTTTTAAGTGCTTAATGGAAGTTTGAAATGTGGCATTATCGGTGCGAGATGTCGGTGGATAGGATGAGGACCGGGGGTAAAAATCCAGGGGTGGTTTCTGTTTAGCATATCAAACGATCTCTCTATCGTTTTATTTTTCCACTTCTGTTTTATTTTCCACCCACATTCTGCCCATAGTCGAATGGACGGAACAATTGAGGGCCGATCAATCCGAGCACTTTTCAAATTCCATCCGACGTTTTAGGGCTTTCCTTTGAAAGGAATCAGTCAAAGTTGTCAAACGAATTGGAGAATTCGGTTTTAAAAGTGGCCTCGATTGAAAATCACTCAAACAACTCAAATATTAATTCTCAGGAAATCTATTGAAACAACCGGATAACTGAATACTATGGGTTTACGAATAATTATCCATTTTTTTTTCTCGAATTCTACAACGAATAAAATAAATGCAACGATTAATTCACACTCACGGCCTCCAGTCGCAAATAGAACTACACTTGCCATAATTACGAATGCACGAACGCGTACATAGTTACCATCGAGGTAGAGAGCTGAAGGGCGAGAGGAAAACTGTTGGTTTACACACGAAAACAGTGGAGGGCCTGGTGGCAATGCTATATTTTACAAACCATAACCGCGTAATGGCGAACTCGCGGGTTTTCACCACCGTGGAAAAGGGTATCGGTGTGGTGCTCGATTCAACCGAGAGGTGAGAGGATAAAGCTGACTCTGTGAGCGCAAGTTAATTCAATGGGTCTGTGTTGTGTTTGTGCAAGAGGATGCGAGGTCAAAATTCATCGTACCGAAACTAGTTGCTACTCCAGCATTACAGTTTCGGAAGTTTGCTATTACTGTTCAAACTAGAGCCCTCAAAACGCGCACTGCAGGTCTCAGTCTGTCTTTCAAGGGTGAGAAACAACAACTATTTCCCAGGATTTAAGGGTATCTCGGACTAGGTGATAACAGTTTATACCGGTTTTCGTTCTATGAATCGATCATTATTTTCTCATTCAGAATATAAATTAAGGGGCGCGATGGAGATGTCTAAGATGTGGTCGATGAGTTTCAAAAAAAAATTGTAATAGTTTCCGGTAAACAAGAATCAACCGCTTTAATTACCCTGATCCAATGTGTCTTACCTCGGAAATCGGACCTAAATCCACAATATGCAAATCCCTTTTATCCTCCCTCAGTTCGTCGTACCAATCTTCAACGTGTGAGATTCACCTTGATGCACTCAGGGTTGTAAACGCAAGCTGGGGCAGGCTTTGCTCAGTACACAAGACGAGTTGTCCCGAGTTTCAGGTAGAGAATGTGTGCAGAGTACACTAACGTTTAGAATACAGCCAATCACTTATGATTACCCCGATGTGAAAACGATTTAGCCGTAGAAATTAAGTTTTCCTTTATTCTTCTTGCGTATTCGATTATTTAATCTAGTTATTATTCAACATTCAAATTGAATTTTTCTTTCGAATGGATGATTTTTGGTAAAATCAAATTCTTTCAGCAAGGCTACTTCCCTTAATATAATAGGAAGAGTTAATAAGCCAGATAAAAATTCAGATTGAATATTGAATGATAAAACGTCGATCCAATAAACGAATATGAAAGAATATTTCAAAATTAAGTTCCGCACATATCCCGTTTAATGAACTTGAGTTTAGCTTCTTCCATTTTAGTTTTCTCTTATTTCCACTTTTTTTCTTGAATGCACCACTGGATAGTGAAAAGTTCGCGAGAAATTTCGATGAAAAATCGTTAAAGGAACCACTCGCAGTACGAACGAATGGAATTTCCCGAAGCGTGAACATTTCAAGGATCTCCTCCTTTGTTTCGAAAATGTTTTTAAAAATTTCAAAACCAGAGATAAAATTATTTCATCTCAATATTTTCAAGAGTTTTGAAAATTTAAAACCATCCAAGAAGTAAATGCAGTCGAATTGTTCTATCCATTGATGGAGGATTCTGGACATCAACTATAGACGATTTCAGTTTCCAAAACTTCTGGGATCCCTCGATTTCTTAGATATCCTCTTTGTCTCTAAGATGTTTTTAAAAATTTCAAAACCAGAGATGAAAGTTATTTCATCCCAATATTTTCAAGAGTTTTGAAAATTTAAAACCATCCGCGAGATGAGCGGAATTGAAATCTCCTGTCAGTTGATGGAGTAATCTCAACATCAATCTAATAGTCGATTTCAACTTCCAGAGGTCCGGGATCCAGCGATGGTCTGCTACAGGTTCTGGAGATGTAATTCAGCTGCTGGATGAGGAGGATCTCTCGAAGTGAACAGCTCGGATGTCGGCGGTTGTATGACTGATGTGCCCTGCGAGTGGTTCCTTTAAGTACTCTCCGTCCAGACTTCCCTTGCAGAAACTTTTTGCCACCTAGTGGCGCATCTTGGAACTAATGTTAAATAATTTAACAAAAATTTTTTATTGAAAGATCATTCCTCGATAGTCCTTCGATCCGGTCGGTTCGTTGCTCTTGAAAAGTCCGGTTTGAATTCTTCTTTAAAATCTCGTCTATCAGGATATTCCCCGGTGTGGCCTTAATCTCTGCAGAGATTCTTTCCGTTGCAAAGATGTTACTAAAATTTTCGAAACTAGAAATGAAAGTTAATTCATCTCAATATTTTCAAGAGTTTCGAAAATTTTGAAACCATCCACGAAGCGAAAAGAAGTGAAATCTGCTGTTGATTGATGGAGTATTTCACCATCAGAAATAGCGGCTTCAATCTCAAATTTCTGCGATCAGCACTGGACTCCTGCAGGTTCCGAAGGTTTCAATCAGCTGCCAGTTGTAGAGCATCCGCCGAAGTGAACAGTCGTCTGCGCGGTAGTGGTTGAGTGAGTCTCTCAACAAGCAGTTCCTTAATAACTTTCAACCACAGTTTTCCTTGCAGAAACATTTCGCCTGGCGGTGTATTTTGAAACTAAAGTAAAAATATTCAAGGATCTAGAATCCTTCGTTGCAACATCATTCGCTGGCAGTCCTCCACTGCATAAACGTCTACTAATCGAATATCCGCGATGAAATATTTTATCGAAATTGTATTAAATCCTCTTTCTATATTCTTACGAGAACTTCTGGATATTCAGTGGAATTTTCTGTTTCAATTAATATTTTACGTTCAGAATTGTTTGTCGGAAGTCATGAGGTCAACAATTCTGTACCAGTGAGCCGTGTGTGTCTTTTTTTTCCGGTTTTACTTTATTTTTCGGGAGTGCTTTGCACCGGGTGCACGATTGAAGGTGAAAATGGGTGTTCGTGCGTAAAATTACTTTACGCCGGGAAAACCAAAACCAATAAGGATACAAACCTCATCCCACCAATGGAAATAGTTATGTGCAGTTCAGTTGAATCTCTTGTGATTAGGTTTCTCGGTTTCGAGGGAATAGAAATGAGAGGAAGAGTGGAAAATTTGGTACTGAGAGGATTTCCAGGATTTGTGCATCTTGAATGCAGTGTAGAGGTATTAATTTCATCAAATCCATGATTTTTAATGAATTTTTCATTTCACTCCATTGGACTGGGATCATCTATTAATTTAAGGAAAATAAATAAGAATAATCGGTCGTATATCTGTTTGAAAAAAAAACTGTTAACTGACGGGATATTAGCGAATAGTTGACTAACTTTTATTAGTTGTCACTGGAATGGCCTTGGCAATGAAAATAAACGAATTTTATCTTAAAATTAAGTCAAAATGTGGCCCTGGCGCCGCCCCACGGGAAATTTAAGGAGTCGATTGTGATGCTATGACCGATCGAAAACCTAAACAACTATATATATATATATATATATCCAATCATTCTCGACACCACGTGCAAATGCCTCATTCGACGCAAAAAGGTGAATAGCTACGTGATATTCCTCCTCGGTGTGCAGTGAATCGTGAATTCCGCTGAAAGAAAAACCAAATATTGAGTGATTTAACACGTGAAGACCTCTGGTATCTTTGAGTATTTTATACAGAGATTATGATAAAATTATAATCCCTGGCGAGATAATCATAGAACTATGGCAACTAATGGAGACGTTGAGAGAATCGTCTCTTCAGTTCAGGCCTTGAACGAACTCATGATGAAGAGGAGAGACTCTCCTCAGTATGAATTAATTTATGACGGGAGATCCAGAGGTGATGGTGTGTTTACTTACCAAGTTTCCTGCTTTGATCACACCATATCAGCTTCAGGGGATTCTAAAAAAAATGCCAAACAAAATGCTGCTCAGTTGATGTTGAATTTAATCAAACATGACAGAGACCCATTTTGTGGAAGTGATAAACCAAAACGTGAAGTATGGTGGACAAAAATGCCGATTAATGTTCTACAGGTAAAATAATTGTGATTTATATAAGCATTTGTATTAGAATTTTACTGAAATGTCCAAGAGTTTTGAATCTTCAAAGAGTAGAGAAAATTTTTTCAGAATTTTTGATACGTTCTTTAGACGTTCCTGTAATTAATTTATACAATTTACATTTTCTTTAATTTGTAGACCATATGCAGATACGAAGCTCTTTCCTACCCCGATTACGAGGAACTAGGTGTATCAGGTCCTCCCCACGCTAGATTATTCACAACTCGTTGCACAGTGTCTTCATTGACGAGAAAAGGTGAAGGACAAACTAAGAAGCAAGCAAAGCAGATGGCTGCGAGGAGCATGATAATTTTCCTGTGCGAGATAAGCGAGAGTGTGAGGGAACGAATCAAGAAATTGGAAACTCTGACAAAAACAGACAAGACGGGATTTCAGGCAGACGACAGAAATGAAAACGTAAACAAATTGAATTCCTCCGTTTATAACGATTCGCCCGAGAAAAATCCTCAGGAAATCCAGACGCCAAAACGATCGGACGTAATTATTGAAAAGTGCAAAACAAATAGTCTACCTGTCACATCCCCTCCATTTAATATCAATGAAAGAATAAATGATTTAACCTTGAATGTCGAGAAGAAATCAAAAGCTGAAAACCAACAGTTGCACTGGCCTCAAGGTTCTCTTATGTGTCAGCGTCGATCTGTTAGGAGGACACTTCAGAAACTGAATAAATCTCTCAACCAGAAGTGCTTGAAGATAACAGAGGAATTCGTCTCCAGTATTTATGAGGAGATCGAGAGAATTCTGGCGTTTTTCAATCTCGTGTCTGATCAAATTATTCAAAGAACTGCTGATGGAAAATTCATGATGGCTCTCTATGTGTCAACCAATCCAATGATTCTTGATGTTGCTGTTGACGATGATCAGAGCAGTCTGACAGCTCTGGTATATCGTCGGCTGGTCCAGAGTATTCTTGATATGTTGGAGGGATAATTTAAATAATCAATACATAATGGTATTAATCTGTTTTATTTCTGTTCATTTCCTTCTGAAATTTATCTGATTTATTTCAAGATATAAGAGAAACAAAATATTTTTGTTCTGGTTTTTTAATGAGAAAAGTAATTCCTCTCGATACGCGATGCAACCGCGCTTATATACTATTTTTTTTTACCTCTTCTATAATTTTATCCTTTTATATCTTTTATATTTTTTGGTTTTTATTGTTTAGTTTGAAGAATAATTCAGAAATAATTTAAGCACAGTGCATCCAATCCAATCGAAGATCAACACTCTTAAAATATTTCCAAACATTAAATAAAAATGTTCAAAGTATTTTAGAATTACAAAAAAAATACTGTAGTTTGATAAATAAAGAAAATTGGAAGATGTGGCGTTTCAACAGAAAAGTTTCTTGAATAAAAAGCAAAATGAATGAATATAAAACTGATGTCTCTGGGAACTCATAAATATCAGAAATCATCCAATTTGTTGCTGCGACATTGCTTAATTAAAACTGCTATCTTGTATGATCGTACCTCAACTCCCCTCAACTGAGATTCCCAGTGAAGAAACAGGGGGTACTGTAGACAAAGTGTATCTTTACACTGTTGTACACAGGCATAAACTTCCCCCTGGATCTCTCTGTCGTCATTTGTCAAACCTTAATGCAGTCTCGGTGAATCCAGAGAGGGAAGGAATCGCTGAATGAGGCTAATTAAACAGATAAACGCAGTGATACGGTTATATGCTTCCTTCCTCCTCGGTTTACACCACCTAGTACGCTATGAATTTTACTCGAGAGAGTTATCCACTTTTTATCATTTTATGGACGAGTTAGAGGTAAAAATCAACACGAAGTGATGCGAATTTTTTTATACTGTCGATTTGATATCAACGGATTTTTCGATGAGAAATGGGGAAAAAACTCGATATCTCGATTTCCGCTGCGATTTTTTTCAACGAGATATGGCGGATCGACTTCTGCTTTATTCCATTGAATAAACAATTATATCCGCACAGCGAGGGGCCGTGTCGGTCTGACATAAACTAGATTATACTACTGGAGCATGTGGAGAATTTATTCCTCTCGGGTTTTACATGAAAGACAATTGAAAAATGCAAGAGTTTCTTTGAGGCTTTTAACTTCAATCGAATATCAATTATTAAATATTTATCCACCGACATTATTATCAATATTCATAATTTTTTATTGAATTCCTATTTTATTATTTCCGCGTTATCTAAATTGGTAGGCAGATGAAAAATTGTGTGAATTATCCATTCATCTTTAAAAGTCTCTAGACTACAAAACTAACAAATCTTTTTTATTAATTTCCAGATATCCTCAGAACCGAGGAGGTGAGTGCTGGGCTTCAAATATAGATGATCATGACGCTATTCTATCGAATTTCCCAAGCGGGCCAGCGAACTCTCCCTTTTCCTTCCGTCAACGGTGTTTTATTTTTTTGTATCAAAGTGTTGTATCCCTTGGAGCACACAACGCTGTAGTACCCACGAGCAGTAGTTTTCTGCTTCTCGTTTCCTGTTACCTTCGCCCATGTATACTTTGGATGGTGCTTTCTACGAGGTTGTGCCAAGCACGTGTCATTTTGAGAGTACGAAGAAAACGTGACTGGGTGTGGGCTAGCCTGAAGAGAGAGGAATTCTAATATTCTGTTGGGAATCCTTTTGCCAAGAAATCTACTCCAAGGTTGAAAAATTTTGGGCTCCATGGAGAGATATGTGAACAGCATGTTTGAAACATTAACACCGAAAGGACAGAGTGGATATCATCGAGATTACCGAACGGGTGAGTTAATTTTTAAATTTGATTTATTTCGATTCATTGAATCGCGGACTAACTTTTGCGTTTTCAAAAAATGAGTTCCATTTAAAAAAAATGCGAAATGAATTCCCGGGCACGTGACCATCAGGTTCAAAGATACAAGTTGATTTTCGTAGAGCATAAACTTTGCCAACCTAAGATAATACTCGTTTCACCTCTTGGGAGATATAGACGGTAGTCTTCTGTGAGTCCCCCGAGACACATACATTATTGCTGAAGGGATGAGAGGGCTCGTATCGGCCAAAATACGTGTAGTGATGGTGTTGTAACGTCTCCTTAATACAATGCGTAAAAGTCCCAGGATGAATAGTGGCTGCACACAATGTGGTATCTCGCATTAGCGGATAGCTCTTACTGGCCGCATGGCTCCTTCGAGAATATTGACGCCTCCATGACTCCAGAGCGTTAATGCTCTCACTGTCATATAGACATCTATATCTCAGAGTCTAGTAATCGATAATGGAGGATCGTGAAAACGAGCTATCCCACCCATCCTTTTTACTCACTCCTGACTGGCATCCACTCTGAGGGCTATAGACCAGGTCGTATCCTGTCGTTCAATAGAGTCCTCGACTATTCCTCCTGTACTCCCCTGTCGTTCTGGACGCGTCAGGTCGTTCATTCATGGCACGTTGTTCCATGAACCGTCAGCCTAGACACGCTTTCATCATCAATTTTCCATGAACTTAACCGATCGATCCTCGGTGCGTCATTTGACAAGACAATTCAGGGCTATTCATGACCATAAAGATTTTTTAAAGTTATCTACATAATTTTTTATGGGCTGTTTCGATCATTACTCGGTAATATCATCGTTCGCTGCGTCAGTTGACGAATAGGAAAAATTACGAAAATTATTATCGGAGCACTTGAATTATCCAATTATTAGGCTCTCGGAAAATTAACGATTTGCAGCGATGAGTGGAATATCTATAATTCATATTTTTCGTTTTCCGTCGAGACATTCTGTTCTCGTTTCTGCATCCAACGAAAAGAACAAAAAATAAATAAAATGTGGAGCAGTGAGTGTAGGTGATAAATTCAGTTGTTCTCTTCACTCGTAATTCATCGAAAAAATATTTCCATTTATCGGCTTATCGTAGAGAACTTCGTATCCCCAGAGAGAGAATATAAACTGTTCAAATTTTTTTCGTCCACCCCCTTTTTATATCTTTTTACGCCTTTCAAATCTTGAATAAACAACAGTGAGACAGTATATTCTACCTAATTTTTCATCACTCGGAATTTTACGAGAGTTTTTGTTCTTTTCTTTGGATCTCAGTTTTCTTTTTCGTCGGATTATTTTCCGTTACGGCCTTTTTGCCATTGGAGGGAGGATAGAAATGACGTCAATAAGATATTCATGGGGAGAGACAGAGGCAAGAAGGGCTTGAAACGACTATCATAAAAGGAGAATAAGAATATGGGAGCGGGACAAAAAGTCTTCATTATTTGAAACAAAAGTTTGATGTACCGGCATTTTTAATGCATGGAGTTCACTGATTTCGGAAATGCCCTTTCATTTTCAAAGGTTCGAATAAGAAATTTTACCTCACTCCGGATAAATATTTCACAATTAACTGACTTCACTCTATTCACTCCGACCATCCTACAATCAATAATTCTGAGATACGTCGATATTACACAAAATTCTCGTTTTAAATATGTCAGTTTAGTACTTCAGTACTAAATTGAAATTAAAAATTTTATAATAAAAGAGATTATACTGAGAAAAAAATCCCCGGTATTTGTATGATTCCACTGTTCCTCTGAACTTTTACTGCGCTATTTCACTGGAATTTGACTCCCGTCCTCTCACAAATGCGTGCATACAGAGGGATTTTGGAATCAGAGTTTCAATGAGATTCATTTTCACCTAAAAATACATTCCATAATCCATTCTCCTCGTGGCAGAGCATCCGTAGAGCATCCGCTCAAGGATAATTATGCCTGAATGTGGATTTTCCGTAGAATTTTCCATCCATCGAAAAGCGAAAAAAAAAAGAAGGAAAAGTTGATGCAATGAACCATAGAATGCAAGATGCTTGAGAGCCTCATCCCTCGACAAATCGTCGACATTCTCCCCTCATCATGACAGAGATAATCCTTCAGGGTTTATTAACCCGCTGATTAATCATTGCCCCCTAAAAAGGGAACGAAGATGAATGTAATATTGTGGAAACAAACCGAAGGCAAAAAACCGAGAGTCAGGATGACTAGGAAAGCCTCCAACATCTCCAACAATATTCTCTCCGTCTTCGGGAAAAAGAAACTTAACTAAAAAAAAATAATCAAACTCGTTGGAACACGTTACAACATGAGAGCAAATTGTGAAAATAAAATTTTCTCTCCATTTGTAAAACCGACAGAGGAAATACGTGATTTGCATTGAGAATTATTCTGAGAAATTTATACGGCACAGAGTGATACATTCTGGTATGCAAAATCTACTGCAATATAATTCACACGTACCACTCACCTAACTTCTTTCCTATCTCTTTTTGTTATGTACTAGATTTTTTTATTTCTCCATTTTCCATCTCACTCTTTCACTTTTTCACGGACGTTGCCTCCGATTCTCGAGGAAATATTTCGCACCTCCTGGAAAACACGTCCATCCTTTAACCCGTACCCAACTCCACATCCATACACGACCTCGTTTTAGTTTGAATTTTTTTTTTTCTTTTTCATTGTTCCGGAGTGTACGTGAACGCGCGGCCCCGTATCTTTCGTGAAATAACGCGCCTCGGATAAGCTTAAAAATCGCGTATTTCTCTGGGTTATGTTCGCTCTCCCGCAGGTATTCGACGGTGCATGAAATAATGGTAACTTTCTCGGTCGGATATATAATGTGGCATGAGTTATGTGAAGTCACTGTCGACTTGCCTAAATTGCAAAATGTAATTTATCAAAGGCGGACTCATTTTTATTTATTCATCTGACTCGATTTAATTGTGTGGATTAAATTCGGACTTACGTTGATGCGACAAGAGTCTTGGTAATCATTACAGTAGTTCCGAATGGGTCAAAACAATTTCAAGTAGCTGCAAAAAAAAACTTGAGTAAGCGTGTAAAGTAGCTCTGCAAGGGTGAAAGTGAAGTAGAATGGATTTAACGTGAAAAAATGAAATATAAACCCAATTAATTCCAATTTATCGCCGCAAAAAAGATGACGGTTACTTTCACACCTTCCAGAATCAATTACGCGATTAATTTTCCCCCCTCCCTACGGAAGAAAAGAGCAACAGACTGGCTTTAAAATCCCCCAGGGTGCCATTGAGTGAATCAACGTCCTCTTCATTAATGAAAAGCCGAAGGAACGGCAAGGGTGAATCCTTAGATATACCGGGAATGTCAGACCCATATCCGATAAATTCTACTGGTACTTGACGTTCAATTTCTCTCTGTCCCTCTACTCAACGACTTTCATGGTGACATTAAAATTCCAGTGA